CATTAAACTTCAACGGGACTACTCAGGAGGCCGGAGTGAGTCCCAGCAAATGAAGTTAGGCCTCTCAGTAGTCGAGTCTGTACCCCAAGTCAGAGTAGCGGAGGTAGCTATATTGGGCCCAGGGGTTGGTGCCAATCTCCCCAGGGACAGGGAGAGGAACAGACAATCTAGGGTGTCGGTGGAGGTTAGAGCAGAGATTGAGTCAGAGCAGTGCTCAAGTTCTGACAAAGAGGCAACTCCTTCAGGCGGATTGGACTGCTACTTATTGAAATCTCTTGCTAACATATTGAGGCATGGTGCACTGGAGTTGGGCCACAGACTTCTCCCTGGTGGGTATTTGTTGGTGGAGGAAATCCTTAAAAAAGCACCCAGGCTTTGCCGGGTACTCTTTACCGGATATTCATAAACTGATCAAGGGTGACGTGGACAGGAGTTTCACTTTGATAAAGGACACAGAAAGTGGTTGTTGGAAAATTAGGGCTAACCAGGAGTATTCCTTGGTGGGTGATACCCCAGACATACCATTTGTAGAGAAATGTGAGGTTCCCCAAGGCTACCATTACACCACAATGGCCTCATGGGGCCATATAAAAGAGGAGGGGTTGCGGAAAATGGGAAGGCAGTATATACACTTAGTTAATAAAGTGCCAAACAGCTTCAAGTCCCATTGGGAGGTAGAGGTAAAAATAGATGTACAGAGGGCGCAGGCCGAGGGCTACAAATTCTTTTGGTCGCCTAATGGGACGGTCTTGTGCCCAGGTAATCAGGAAGGGATCATACTGTCCACTTATTTTATCCAAGCCTTACATTTGGATTCAGGTGAGGAACTGGACTTGGGCAACTTATTGGCTCCAGCATTGCTCACAGGGGACCAGGAGGGTCCAGTAGCCAATATTGAGAGGAAACGCATAGGAGCTATCTTGGCAATAGAGGAAAGCAATAGCCTTCACGAGGTTGCTGCCTCAACGGAGACTACTTTGGCAAGTGATGAGGAGGCCCAAGAAAGTTGGGACTCCACATCAGAAGGTGAGGTAGATACCACATTGGTACAAGAGGCCAGTGATGAGGAGATAGTCACTGTTTGTCAGCAATATCGGGGGCCTACTCCTGTTGCAGATCGAGGAATGACTGACAATATGGAAAAAGGTCCTACATCCCTCACTTTTGTGGACCCTTCCTCAACGGGAGAAATTGACCGAAAGGCCACAGGGTTCACAACGGGAGATTTGACAGAAAGGCCACAACTGAAAGAAACATCCCACTCTACAAAGGAACAGTTATCATGGTTATCATTGACAAATCTCCCGTCAGCCAGAAATCTGCATCCGTTAATACAGAAAGCCCCAATTCAAGATTGGGGTCACTTTTCAAAGCAGAAAATATTGGCGCTAGGTATTGTAATCTGCCAACACCTACAGTAGACAGTGGGACAACAGTCTTACGTGTGACCATTGCCACAATCAGATGGGGTCCCAGCAGAAGACAGTGGGACTCTGGAATTCCCGCCCTTTACAAAGGTATAAAGACAATACAAGTAAAGATGGAGAATGAAGGTGGATCCGAACAATCTCCTAGGTCCAACCAGGACTTGCAGTCCTTCAGCGTTCAGGGCTAAATTGTTTAAAGGAGAGGGGAAGTTGGTGTATGATCCAGAGAAGAACAATTCCCAGGTTATTGGGTTCCCAATTTGTTGGGAACACATTGTATTAATTGTTAGTGTATCAGTATAGACCCATGGATACAAAGGGTCTGTCAGGGGGGGGATAGGTTGTATACTTTTTAAATTGATGCATATTTTCTATAAATTTGGTATGATTTCCGTTTTTTTGTTAATTTTGGGCGAAATTCACAAGGCCCACCTCAGTAGAGGGGGCCTTATTAATAAAACTGGGTGGAGTGTAGTATTGGTAGGGTTAGTTTTAGGTCATCGGATAGACCATCTAAAGATGTCCGAAGAACTACCCAGGAATTATCCTCTTCCGGTAATGAACTAACGGCTATACAGACGACATATATCACTGAAGAGCAATCCGGCCGTTCCTGACTGCAGGAACGACCATCCAAGGTATCTATTGGTATTTTGATATTCTCGGCAATTACAAAAGTATACTAGTATTATTTTTACACATTGTTTTGGTTAAATTATTTATGGACAGGGCCTTACTCAAAAAGATATTTTCCCGCGCCAACATCTTTATATAAGACATCTTGCAGTAAAATAATATCTTTTTTATGTAAAGTCCTTGCTCGTAGTTCTTAACGAGGCTCTTTTGGCAGATTTTGAAGTTTTGCAAGTTTGAAACCTGAAAAAAAACCTTTTAATAAATGTAAACAATTTAAAAAAGATATAGAATCATGTGCAAAACAGTGTAGACGAGACCATTGATTGGCGCGCTAAAATATCCCATTGACTGGGTCAGATTAGGTGAACGTTCGTCTGTAACGCCCACAACTCACGACGTATTTATTATAAACATTTAAACTGTGGGGTTGCCAAAGGGTCTCAGTATATAAACGAAATACAGTGCACAGTATATTATATACATATTTTATTTGCGATCATAAAAGTACGAAGTCGTCCATTACTATATAAATTGGGTCGATTAAAAAAAAAGCTGAATATGTTTCTGTTGCCAAGAGTTTTTCACAAGTATGGTAGTTAGCAGAAAAGTTCACCAAACTATACATTTTACCTATTCAAAAACGTAAATGCAAATTCCACAAGGCTTGATCCAAATAGCCTTTTTATTGTCTAATAACTTGCAAGTACGAAAAAGACAGGACAGAAGTATATTTTGTCTATATGTTTTGTGTACGCACACTTTTTAAAGTTGATCATGCATTCGTTCTAAAATAAAATTTTGACCAGATAAAAGTTAAAAGATGACATAATTGGACAACCGCAATTGTAAAATCGCTTTGACGTCCGAAAAAAAAGATAATAATCAACACATGCATTGTAACTTTTAAAGCCAGTTAAATCCTTTTTTTTTGCTGAGAGAACGTGCGATATCATAAAAATTGATTATCAAAACATAACGAAAACACAAGTAAAGAACGTTTAAGTATTCAATATAAATCAAAACACAAAGTTTATTCCTGATTAGTTTTTCGAATTATTTTATTTAGGCGTTGAGACCCTTTGGTGACCCCACAGTTTAAATGTCTATAATAAATACGTCGTAAGTTGTGGGCGTTACAGACGAACGTTCACCTAATCTGACCCAGTCAATGGGATATTTTAGCGCGCCAATCAATGGTCTCGGCTACACTGTTTTGCACATGATTCTATATTGATATATGACATACTAATATTATATATATATATATGTGCACATCTGAGGGATTTTACTTGATAAATATATAACATATATTTTTTTTCGAATTAATGAGGCAGAAACAAGTGGCCTCATCATACCTTCTCCTATAATCCAGCCATTTTTTGTATACATACTCACATTGATCAAGTTCATATATGTCATTTATGCATTTCCCCCTTCTAAACATAGGTCGAATATAAAAACAGACGTTGATTGTATTTCTTATTGTCGTTTGAAACTAAAAGAATTTGTGTGAACTAGAACAATTACGAAGTGGTTGTACCTCAGACAACATCAACTGATTAGTGGCATGCATATAAGTTAGGAGAAAAGTATTTTTATTGCTAATTCTCATAACGAATTAATAGATCGATTAATTGTTGTTTGGTTGCTCGACTCCAGTGGGGAACTCATTGATCATAAATAATCATACAAATGCAAACAAATTCGAGTTGGTTTTATTATTCAAATTTTGCTGTTCATGCATAAAACAAGGCGACAAAAGTTAATCTCGTAAATCGAAAGAATAGACAAATCAAGGTAAATAATAATAATTACTGAGGGAATCGCATTAACTCCAAAAGGAGCAAGCCGGGTGCGTCTGCCTGTTAAACGTGTTTCCTGAAAAGACTGACACGGCTAATTCGTCGTTAATTTCTAGTTCTTTCATCTCGGCTACTCGCGCGTTGTTGTACGGTTTCAGATTGGGTTATTTTTTTACAACCGGCACGAGTTATATTGAGGGACCTTCAAAGGGTAAATGTGCTAACGCTTAATGTTGATATCACATGAACAAAATGGCCACCACAGGCAAAAATAAAACATATGGGCAAAACTACATGTGTTTATAGCTTCTATTTAAAAACAACCTTGAGCAGTTAGAGCAAACTGACACGTTTAAAACAAATTAAATGCAGAAATATTCAATTGACTGCTTGAAGGAGTGATTTCCCTTAATGAAGATTTTGTGTTTTTTTTTTTTTTCAACATTAGCAGATTTATGATGATTGTCAATGAGAAAACTATCCACTAGAGACCAACGGACGTGGTTGTGAGCAACTATAGGTCACCGTACGACCTTCAACAAAGAGTAAAACCAATACCGTATAGTAAGCTATAAAAAGCCCTGACACTATTAAATGTGTAACAATTCAATTGAAAAAAAACAACAACGACCTGATTTATGTTAAAACAATATGAGTTTTATTAGATTATAGTATTTTAGATTCTCCGATTGGGTCTAATGATTTTATTTTTGTTACCAAGTGAGCGATTCAGCCTCATAGGAACATCTAGTTTTCTTTTTTTCAAATTGTGTGATATACTTTTATCCCATATGGTATAGAGAGGCAAAGTGGGATCAGGAGGTCTCATGGCATTTACAACTATGGTTTGACGCCACCAAATTATATATAACTATATAAAAAAAGAGACGGAAGATAACAAGGGGATAGTTAAATCTCATAAGTAAAAAGAAACTACGCAATGGTTAAAAACGACGAAAAGACAAACAATTCCACAAACACCACATAGAAAACCTTAGATCGAGCAACAAAACCCATGTAAATCAGGCTATTTGGATCATGTATTGTTCGTTGTTGCTTGTCTTTGTTATCACCTCTTGACATGAGAATTGATTTCCTACCAATAGTTTAATGTTGTTTTTTTTTTAATTTACAGATCCCACGACGATGTCATGTCTTACACATTATATCAATAAAATTCGAGTTCTATTTAAATCAGCCAGTATTCCTGTGGATCCCGAACATCATAACGAAGAGGGCAATGACGAAGGTCATTACTGTGACATCATGGAATCCGCGATGATCCGGCCACTGAATTCCAGAAAACTTTCGATAGATTTAGAAGACGATATTATAAGCGACAATTATAATCATTTGAAGTTAAAAATCGAGAGAAAGGTCCCAGACGTGTACTTTAACAATGGCAATATTTACACAAAAGTCAATAACAGTCAGAGTGGAAAGCAAAATACTGTAGCGCTTCCTAATTATGACAGGATGGAATTAGACTTAAACTAGGCTCAATATCATTAACACAGATTTCTTTAGAGGAAAAGATAAGGAAGATAAAATGAAAAATTTGTATTTCGTTGTTTAGTAAAATTTTAAACATATGACTTCTCTATCGTTTTTATACAAGTATTTCTCATTCTACACTTTAGACAGATTGTAAGAATTAGTTCAACTTTTTTAATAAAAGAGTTAACGAAGATACACATATTATGTAAGGAACAAATAAATACCATTCAAACAAGAAGTTTTATGAAACTGACATCATAAAGATGCTGTTTTTACATTGACATCAAATTGTCTATGTTTGGTTCATACAGAGGCTTATCATAAAAAAAATGGAAATGAAACTAATATCATCCTTTTTCCTGACGTCCCCCGATAAATACTGTTCTCCTACTGAATAACTAAAGGTTAGTGACTATGTTGTTTGCATCTATCCTAGAGAACTTGAAATAAGGGATACCACATATACATTAAGGTCTGGGCTGATATGCATAATACCACTTAAGTTGAGATATCCAATCGTAGTACTTTATCGTAGGACGTCCGTTCGGAACAAATCTTAACTTAAGTAGTTTATGCATATCAGCCCTGCTTCTTATCTTAACATACTTCTAAAAATTACCAGAACTTTTTTGTGAACTAAACCCTAGGTATTTTCCCGTCAGACAATATGTAACACTATTCGACACCCTGGAATGAGTCAGTCTTCCAAAATCTGCATGGTTGTGGCCCAGTTTTCGGGAGGTGCGTTTGCCTTAATAAGTCAAACCAAGACAAGAAAAAAATACAGAAATTACTCACAATTAACTTTAATTCATTTCGCACAAGTGGTAACTCGACCGATTAAATAGTATAACGGTATGGATTGTTCGATTCCTTGTGATGTGGTTGATGTATTTACTCTAGTATAAATTAAAATTTTCGGATAAAGTTATGAAATTGATTAAGTCAAACTAAACTAAAACTAATAAAAAAAAGATTGCATAGAATAAGAAAATCTATTGAATATATAATTGTAATTGTCTACAAATTTAAAAGATGTAATTAATGCTTACTTGAAACATATCTTAGAAATCTATGAACATTGATAAAATACATGGCCAAGTTAGAACTTTTAATTTTAAATCCGTACGTATCATCACATGTCTCTTTTGCCAACTCTTTTTATCTCTAGCTTTCCTCCAAAAGGACAACTTGAAAAAGCATGGTAAAGGTCTGAGAGCACTAGTCAATTGAGTCCAATCCGTTCTATAAAAAATAATGTCCTCTCACTAAAAAAAGTCTGTTGAATGAATATAACATACGGAACAAAAGGATACCGCAGATTAAGCTAAGTTTGCTTGATATATTGAGTTATATTTTAGAAATTGAAAACGATTGTCGGTTCAGAATTTTAACTTTACACCAAAAGAGATGACTTCAGTTTTTTAGTAAAATTTCCAATAGTATGTAGCAACTTTCCAACAGCGCCTGTACATTGATATGTATCATACCTTTTATAAATTTCTGATTATTCAGTTGGTTGTGCAAAGTCCCGTACTGACCACATATATTTAATACACAGTGTTTAGAAGAGATATTGTCCTTGACATTATCCGATATATGTTGGCATCTGTTAAATGTTCAAAGTTAGTAACATATTTTCAGGTTTTGTTGCAAGCAACAAATAGTCAGTAGGATATAAACTGATAACAAAGGCCGTCAGTTACCTAATATGGTATATACGCGGTCAGAAAATTAATTATGGGGACCCATATGAATTAACGGATCGTGTATATGCTATATTCGGTCACTGACGTCTGTGTAGTATATATTATATATCACGGTTGATATGATATTCCGGGGCATGTGTTTTCTATCATGATTTCCTTGAAATAGGATTGCTGCTTACAAAGAAGCTATAGAACCAAAAGTAGCATCTGTATATGGGTATGCATCTCCTAGTTAATCAGATATTGCAGAGATTATGTTTTTTAGTCATGATTTTCTTGATAAAGGATTGCTGCTAACAAGCATGCTATTGAGCCCAGGGTTTTAAACATGAAAGTTGATGTCATCTTTTCGAAAGTTTTACCGACGCCATCATGAGTTTGTTCAACGTTATGTCTTTGTCACAGATGAAAATGGTTCTCGATAATTGATTCCTTATTTCGTCTTCTTTTCCTATATTGTGACATTACCGAATTTCTGCGTTACATTGTCAACAAGACAGATGACAGCATAGTGAAGCACAATCTGCTTACCCTTCCGCAGCACCACAGATCAACTCCGGCTTATGGGTGGGTTCGTGTTACTCTGTCCCTTGTTTTCCGAATTTTGTTTGTAAATTGCTGTTTATCTTTTGGCTTGTTTACCATTATATTGTCAGTTTTTCTTTAACCAATGATATTTTAATTCTTATTTGGTATCTTCTATCTTTGTTCTATTCTATGAAACTGACATAATAAAGATGCTGTGTTTAAATTGACATCAAATTTGCTATGTTTGGTTCATACAGAGGCTTACCAAAAAAATGGAAATGAAACTTATAGTATCGTTTATCCTCAGGTCCCCCGATATAAACTGTTCTTTTATGGAATAAATAAAGTTAAGTGACTGTGTTGTTTACATCTATCCTGGAGAACTTAAAATAAGGGATACCACATATGCAGTAAAGTCTGCTTTATCTTAACTTACTTCTAGAAATTATCAGAACTTTTTTTGTGAACTAAACCCTAGGTATTTTCCCATCTGACAATACGTAACACTATTCCACACCCTGGATTGAGTCAGACTTCCAAAATCTGCATGGTTGTGGCCAAACATTTTCCGGGAGGTGCCTTTGACTTTATGTCAAACCACGAATAGATAAAATTATAGAAATTACTCACAATTAACTTTAATTATACGAAGGAGATGTGGTATGATTGCCAATGAGACAAATATCCACCCAAGTTCAAATGAAGTGGATGTAAGCAATTATATGCAACCGTACGGCCTTCAACAATGAGAAAAGCCCATGCCGAATAGTGGTCTATAAAAGGCCCCGGCATGAAAAATATGAAACAATTCAATTGAGAAAACTAACGGCCCAATTTATAACAAATCAATTTACGAAAACAAGGTTACCCTTCCGGGGCACCAGTTCACTCTTACTTTTTGGTGCGGTTCGTGTTGCTCAGTCTTTAGATTTCTTAGTTTATATTTTCGCCGTTTTCGTTTTTTGTCCTGGTGTTGTTGGTTTTTTTTTTTTTTTTTTTTATCCTTTCTATATCTTCAGCTTCTTTTTTGGTAATTGAATAATAAATAACTACTTTTAAAAAAAAAAGGTATAGCGAAATTGACTTATTACCACTAGATGGTTTGATAATTTGTTTATGAATATTGTAAAGTTGTAATAATATTACTTTGATTTAATTCATCATGGGTCAGAAAACAGCCCTATCACAATCCACCCTTTGATCTCAAGTCTAATGATTGGAGGCTAGGTATCTTTAATTTTGTTAAAAAATATATATATAACAATATGTATTCCGGTTTTGAATTCAAAAGTTGACCAAAAAAGTTGTAGGCGAGAAGGTATTCATATGGTAAGTAAGACGACGGAAACAATCGAACATCACAATTCAAATGTCAAAAGTTCAATATCGTCCACTTGATATAAAAATAATAATTCCCTGCAGTTAGAATAGTAATATACGGTACTTTGATGTGTACAATGTACAAGATGATCTTGCTACAAATCTTCATTTACCAAAATATTCAAATATGAATATAATTCATATAACAGTGTTTGTTGTTTGTTGTTCGGGCCAGCGGAGCTATGGTAAATTATGTGGGTAACGTATTTAACTTTTTTGTAAACTAAAAGCTTCTGTTATAAGCTTTGAAATTAGAATATCTAGAGATTTCTGGAATTAACACAAACAAATACTACTAACATCAGAAAAGGGTGACAAAACTGATTTTTATGGTTGGTCAGCGTTCGGAAACCAGAAACTTAAAATTTCCTTCAAATACATTTTTGAAAATGATTTGTCTTTATGTCCACCGTTAATCTAAATCTTAATTCAGTTAACTTGTAATTGTTCAACAAAAATGCTTATGTCATGTTCATACAAATTTGAATATTTAAATATCCGTACATACATTCACATATATTCTTTTGAATTTCATAGCCAGTGACTTGCATACTATTGCACTTCCCAAACTGGTGGTAGTCAAGGGTCTATTTGCATTAATTAAACGGCCATTTGACGTTCAATGAGGCTCCCTTTGAGAGTATTACAATATTAGACTCTTTCTTTGTTATATAATGGTAGGTTGGACAATGATAAATGGCTACAAATTCACCAATCGACATGCGTTCCGAGCAATTCAGTTTCTTAAGACATTTTCAGAATCTCCTTGATACCGGTCTCATTTATTACACAATAAACAAATATGATAAACAGCAACCATCGACAACCACTGAATTACTGGCTCCTGACTTTGGACAAACACATACAGAATGCGTCGGGTATGAGCATGTTTGCGGGCCACCAACCCTCTACTGACCTGGGACAGTGGTGTGACAACCTAACATAAAAAAACAAGCTATAAAAATTAGTTGAAAAAGACTTGATTCATAAAATCGAAACAAATAAAATTGAGAATGGAAATGGGGAATGTGTCAAAGAGACAACAACCCGACCATAGAACAGACAACAGCAGAAGGTCACCAACAGGTCTTCAATGCAGCGAGAAATTCCTGCACCCGGAGGCGTCCTTCAGCTGGCCCCTAAACAAATATATATACTAGTTCAGTGATAAAGAACGCCATACTAAACTCCAAATTATACACAAGAAACTAAAATTAAAAATAATACAAGACTAACAAAGGCTAGAGGCTCCTGACTTGGGACAGGCGCAAAAATGCGGCGGGGTTAAACATGTTTATGAGATCTCAACCCTCCCCCTATACCTCTAGCCAATGTAGAAAAGTAAACGCATAACAATACGCACATTAAAAGCACACTAAACAAAACAACTGAAAAAAAAAGACTTGAGACACCATTTGAGAAATGATTTATTTTCATACGTTTGATTCTGTTATCCGTATTTGTAACTTTCTGATCGTGTACATAACTGTAGAGGAGTTGGTAATACCATTATGTGAGGCATAATACAATTCCGCAAATAACTTATCGCTTCGTGCTATTGTATTGTTCGATTGTGGGATATACCTCATGGGATATAAGCGAGAAAAAAACCTTCACAAAGAAACTAGACCTGAATTATGTATCAAAATGTTCCCAAGATTTAACGTTTTATCAATGATGCTGCCTTCTGATTAAGCGTATAGTTTTACATTACTAATTTTAATACCATGCGATGCATGTCAATAGAGCATGCATCATATTTTCAGCGCTAATGTCTGTGTATTTGGCTTTCACAAGGCTAGGTTATGAGTATGACCAACAATTTTTTTAAGGTTAAAGCAGAATAGTGATTCCGATACATTTTCAGTGAAATACGAAGTATACATCTGTGTAACATAGGTTAAGTTTACTGTACTGTTATAGAATTTTCCAAATTATTTATGGATTGTTTGATTGTTGAAAACATATTGTTAATTGCAATTTTATTTAAATTGATCAAGTTAAATGATTGATTATAATTCATATTATTTGGTTGTTTGGTATTAACCAAGGATTTTAATGTGTTTTTTTTATTTCAGCGAAGAGTGTTGTGCTTATTACTATAAAAAAGATGGAAAATGTGAAGGTAAAACGCTTAGTCATTGTTTAAAACTCTATACTCTTGTCCAACAAGATCTATATAAAAAAGATGAATCCTGCATACAAAAATAAAGAAATATGACATGATTATGAATGAGACATGTATTCACTACAGACCAAATGACAAGAATGTAAACTACTACATGTATAATAGTTCACATTTTAATTATCTGCGTTATAACAGTATTTTTTTAGTAGTATATCGTTTATTTCTATCATAATTTTATTATTTTGTGTTGTATCTCGACTGATCGGCCTTTGTTATTTAATTGATTAATTCTCGTTAGTTTCACTACCTGTGGCCACTATTTGATGCATAACCAGGACGAGAACAAATAAACAATAATTTTGACAAGTAGGCTTGGCAATAGGATATGACCTGGACATGTTAGGATTTGAAATTTGGACTGCTTCTTGAAAAAATATGATTTATTCTTCAGAGAAATGCCTTGCGGCAGTCAAACAAAGTACCACAAAGTACCACTCAAATAGTTGGTGTAAACATATTTTATTAATTATATTCAAGTTAAATAATATACATATTTTGATATTAACATATTAATACAATTGAATAATCAAAAGGATCCGGAAACAAGCTGTTAACATATATTAATCCGTTTCCTACTACAAATAATTTAAGAACATTTCATGCGACTGTCATACAGGTGAGAGGTTTAGCTAGCTATAAACCCAGGTTTAATCCACCATTTTCTACATACGGAAATGTCTGTATAAAGTCAGGAATATGACAGTTGTTTTCCATTCGTTTGATGTGTTTGAGGTTTTGATTTTGCCATTTGATACTAAGGGACTTTCCGGTTTTAATTTTCCTCGGGGTTCAGTATTTTTGTTATTTTAAGTTTTTCATATGTTTAATACTCAAGATGTAGAATGTATAAAATTAAATAATGTTACACTTAATGGAAAACAAACAAAACATATAATAATGTTGAGAACACAAGACGAGGAAAAAAAACAGTTACAATAAATATCAGAAATACTATAGTTAAGTGCCTGTTTCTGAACGGACACAAGTATTTGAGATATAAATATGCACTGTAGGCCTATTGAACAAGATTTCTGTAATCATATGACAAATCTGTTGCTATGAATATTTGAACTGCGAAGAATATTTCGATGTTTTGTTCATAGCTGAGTTCCGTTGAACCGTCAAGATATGAGACAGACTTAACTGAATATGTTGTATCCTTTATTTCAAGTTCAAAAGGATAGTCAACAAATGAATTATTTAGTAAGATCACAACATCTATATAGCGGAACGTGAAGGATATTGATATAGTTTCTTTTCATTTACATAAGAAGCTCCTGTTTGAAGTAATGAAGTATTAATAAAGGAATAATTGGTCAATAAATAGAGCACTGTTGGTTCCCATAGGAATGCTCTTGTTTGTTGAAAAACCCGTCATCCAAACGTACCAAATATGTTGTCAATCAAGAAATCAAGGATCTTTACATTGTCAGTTTCAGAGAACTTTTCGCTTAAATCAGAGTGATTTTTACATAGTACGATTTATCCCTCCCTAAGACAAGATATTTGTATCTCCGTTGGCCATTCTTTTTTATGAAACAAAGCACGACCAATTCTTTCAAATTGTCTTTTAGTTTGTAATGAGGAATACTCGTGTAAACGGTAGAAAAGTCAAATGTTTAAATACTATTGCAGGATGAAAGAGACTTAGATTGTATGTACTCTAACATATCTTTTGAAATGTTACTGATTCACGCCGCCCCTAGAGTATGTAGTTTCACAATAACTTTGAAGCCCGGCTTTGACTGCTGATAAGTTTGATGTTATTAAGTTAGAAAGAGGTTTCGTGGAGCACTTGGAGGCCCCAGCAATATAACGTTTGTAAGGACACTTGTGTAATTTAAGTATCCAATAAAGTGTAGTAAGATACAGTTCTTCATCTTTGATTGAAATTGCAAAGGAACATAGAACAGACCTATGATTCATCATTTCCTACTTGGTAAGTGTCGTGGGGTCTATTTTGAGTTTTCAAATTGTCAATATCTAATTCCTTTATCAAGCACTTTATGTAATGTGATTTACACACAAAAACGATGTTGTTTGGGGCTTCATCTTCGGGAAAATGTGGGAAAAAATGTCCTACACAATATCAAATGATTTTATTTAAAGTAAACCAATGCATTTTGTTCATCACTAAAACCATTCCTGTCAGACAATCTGCACATCGTTTGGCAAAATGATCTGCGTTTGTAATCTTGAGAGTCGCACACATTTAGCATCAGCAAAAGGTAGCAGTCAAAATCTTTATTCTGGAAGGGGAACGTCAATACGATACAATCAATTGAATATGTGTACAAGGATCCGAAACACAGCAAGTCAAAGTCTTCATACACTGTCCCTTTAGGGAAAAAAACATACAGAGATGATCTCCGTGGAATCAATTGAGCATTTAACGCCATTGTTCTGATTTTTAACAGGCACTTCTGTTGAAAGAATGTATAAACAGTATTCGTTTGTAAGTCAGACGAACATTCTGACGACGAAGCTTATTTACTTACCTTCGACTAGCAAGTTTTAATTTTTTGGTTTCCAAAGGCGTAATTTAACTAGTTAAGGTAATATTCAATTTTCTTTCGATTTTCCTGAAATACCTGTTACAGTTCTTCAAAAGTTCGATGGTACTTTTTAGTTGACCTGTATTTTTTTATATCATAAAATTTTATCTTGGCTGATAAGTTTACAATAGAGAAACCTACTATGTTTCTTTCTATGGAGCCCCGTTTTGACAGTTGTTCACTTTGCCACGGTGTCATTGTGTAATATAGATTCCACCACTGCATCAAGTGTCTTACGATATTTCTCCACTCGAGACAGTTAATTTTTAATACTTAAAGGGCGAGGCCTGTCGAGTTTTTTAAATAATTAAAATTTAACTGTTGAGAGTGGAGAAATATCGTTATACACGAGTTATAGTGGTGGAATCTGTTTCTCTAATGACTTTTAGACGATATCTAAACAAAGTTTATTTTTCCTTTTCAAAGATTTGCAGAAAGTTATGTTCTTTTTATGTTACGTCATCAGGCATGGTCGCCTTTTTTCATGACGTCACAATAGAAAATTCAGAAGAAACCAAGAAAATTTGACGTCATAATTGAATTTCGACGAGAACAAAGTTTTCACTAAAGACGAGAAATATTTTTCTCACACCGATCGAGAAATGTGAAAAAAAAACATGAAAATTAGAGAAACAAATTCGTTTAATTTTGAAAAGCTAGCTATGGGAAAGATACTTTTATACTTAGTAGCGTTTAGGGTGACAACTAATGAATAAAAGGAATTGGTGTCTTTGAGCTTTTAGAACATATCTGTTGATATACTTCCATCCTTAAATTCTGTATTAGTGTGAAGCACTTTGATAATAGAGGCAGGGTGCATAAGTAATGGAAATTCTATAGACCCCCAAGAGTTAACTGTGGAATAAAAATATGGTAATCCCTTGGTCTTCTTCAAACACATGCCAAAGTAGGGGGTCCTTTTGGCTGAGCGAGATGTATAAATTCGAAGCTATGTCCGGTCAGAATGGCAACGATAAATCCTATTCCTCATGTTAAAGAGTAGCAAGCTCTTGGCACGTTAAAGAACCCTTGTAACAACTCTCTGAGGGGTCCTTATGTGGCTCGTTGCAAAATTTATCATTAAATAGCAATTGCGTTATTAATTGAATGTTTAATTGCATTTTAATTGAGTTGGATTAAACCTCCATTACGTATATCAAATGATGTTCGAGTACTTGAATTCCGTACAGGCTTTAAAGTAATCTTCATGGGAGATGTTGGCATCGAATGAGGATATGTACAGACAAACACGACACGTTTAGGTTGAGGGAATACAATGGATTACTTTTTTTTCTTATATAAAGGGTCATGTAGGATGGTTGAAATTTCATTTGAGATTTATAGAAAAGTTAAAAAAAACAGATATTTATTCTGCCGTATGGCCCTTGGCTCTATCGGGATCATTTTATACCTTCTGTATTGGGCAAAGATAGAAACGCCAACTTTGTGTTTATAGATCTCCTACTCTGTGATTTTGATAGAATCGGCCATTAAGTGTTTGAGCTAAATATAAGAACGTCAACTTCTGGAGTTGACCTGCTTAAGGTGTTCAAAGTGGACTATGTGACCCTTTTCAAATGTTTTTTATTTCATTTTTAAGTCGTATTTTGACTGAGAGGCTTTAATTATACAATAGTATGTTCAAACGGTGGTGGCTGTATTAGACGTACTGGTGGTAGAGGTGAAGCATGCAAGTTAAAAAAATCCAATTCTAACAAAGTCTGGTATTTGAAGGACATTTTTTATATATACTTAGTGGTAACATTGTACAACAGATTTTTCGGTTATTCACTCTTGATGTACTGTAAGGTTGTTACATTTTTAGTCGATTGTTTGTTTGTTTGTGATTTTTTTTTTAACAGAATGTCAAATTGGAACTGTACGATTAAGTGGTGAGAATGAATATTATTGTAAACCATGTATGAGTGGATTTTATGGGCATAGATGCACAAAGAGCTGTGAATGTTTAAAAAATGAAAGGTTTGTAAAACGGTAATCAAGACTTTCATTAAATGCTATGGATTTGTGTTCGAGTTAAAAAAAAATATTTAGTATAATACTGTTATTATTAACCATGAGCCAGTATAAGTAAAAAAGGTGGTCGTAGTAAAATTACACGAAAATAATTTAAGTCTTATTAGACCCTCTTATTATGAAAGAACAGGTGTAACTTTTTTTTCAATAAATCAATGCCAAATAGCTATGTTTGTTTATACCTTAATTGTGTTGTCCTTCAATGAGTTTGGTGTGGATGCCAAATATATTGTAGTTTCTGTTAAAACTATTAACAATGGCGTAGAATCATTGCGATTCAGAGCTTGTTTTATGTCCATAATTGTTAAATACTCATGTTGGAGTCCAGGACTCTCAGCATAAAACTTTACTCAGTACTCGGAGTACAAAATTTGTACACCAAATCCAGTATTTTGATTAGTTGAAGTTTGAGTCTAAGTACGATAATCGTACTCCAATCTTTTTGTGACCGGAAGGCATGATTTTTCCTAGTCTTGTTGAGCTCATGACTTACTGATTTCCCCCTATCTACTTTTATTGCCATTCCGTTTTGAATTTTCCTTGGAGTTTGGTATTTTTGGTATTTCACTGACGAATAATTCGGTGCATGTTGCTCTTCATAATCTTTAACCAACAAAGATATACAACTTCATTATTTCAGATGTGAGTCGTCACAAGGATGTGTTCCAAATGGTGGTGATGGTATGTTTTATTAATCTTCTGGCAAAAATGAATGATACTATGTTGTTATTGTATGTCTGATTTTATTTCAAATTATATCATACTGTATAAAAATGTCTGAACACTGGTAACATAAAACTAGTATTTACAAGTTTATCACAAAAATTAGTAATTAGTTAACTGATGCAACATTATTACAAACGATTTCTACACAGTTTGATGCGTGGTAAAAAAAAAAACTACGTGAAATTTCTGTTTATAATTAAACAATGCAAGTTTGTAGTTCTTCATCATTTTCAGGAAAATAGTAAAAGTAACAACTTTCAATCCAAGATTTATAAATTTTGCATTAAATAAATAATTATGTTTATCAAATATGGATTTTCGCTGTAAATTGACCAATATGCACTGACAAGGCGTAAACACTTATAATCTATCAATTGATTTTGCAATAGTAAGAAACAGATGACTTTTCTACAGTTTACACTAGTATTCCCCATTCTTAACTTCAGAACATATATAATTAATGGGTCCAACTTTGTTTCATAAAAAGGAACAGCGAATGTTGATAAAAATTTCTAATTTTAGGAAGGAATAAATCATACTCTGTAAAACCCATACGACTGAATAACCCATGAAACGGATATATCAGTAACCAATACAGCATTGTTTTATTAAATTACATACATTCAATATCTAATTCTAACAATCAGATAGTTTGAAATATATTTTGTTTTAGGAAGAAAAGGGCACCAAATCGTCCAGTTTTGCATTCACTCGATATATTTTGCCAATGACTGTTTACATTGTAAAATTGGAATTACGTTACTAAAGCAATAATCGAAGCAACCGAATACCTTATAGAAAACGTAAATTTGTCATTCATAATCGAGTTGTCTGCAGAGGGGGTCTTCATTTCTCTTTTCCTTAATGTTTGGGCCATATTTCTCCTTTCTTTATTTTTTGCCCAGTATTCTTTATTCATATTTTAGCACCCATGTTTCTCTTAGTATATACATGTATTATTTATTTATCTTTGTTTTACTATTCTGAATGTTTTGGCTCATTATTTCCTATTATGAAAACTCTATCCACACCCTCATGATATTTTTTTTTTGTTTTTACAAAAGTTTAACTTGATTTTTTACTTTAACAGTGGTATAATTTGGTTAAAAATCTTTAACTTATAAAAATAAGGAGATGTAGTATGATTGCAATGAGACAGTTATCCATTAGTGTTCAAATGACGTGGATATAAGCAATTATAGATCACATTACAATAAGGAAAAAAAAACCTGTGGTAAAGTCGGCTATAAAAGGCCGGACATGAAAAATGTGTTCAACAATTCAAAAGAGAAAACTAATGGCCTATGTATAACAATACAATTTACGAAAAACAAGTATGACAGACAAACACCAACGACAACCACTGAATTACAGACTCCTGACTTGGGACAGGCACAAAAAAGCTTATTTTTATCAGGAACGCTGTTAAGGAAAACGTCTTTATAAAATATTTTTTCAGATAATCGCCTTGATATGCAGCAAAGATCTTAATAGCTTCTTAGTTTCTTACAATCCCGGAAGTGTGATATGCAATTTATGCATTTTAAAGATGTAGCTAGAACTTTTCAAATTAACTGAATAACTTTTAAAATGTTGTTTCGAGATAACTATTAATCAGTATAATTATAGTGAACGAACTGTTTGACTTTTCTTCTGTGTTAGAGCCACTGTTTATCAACTACACCGTTTGTACCTCTGGATATTCATTCTCATATACTCCTTACAGTTTAAACCTATTTAATGTTGACCCTTTTGGGGTTGAACGCCTTTATACCTTATCTTTTTACATGATTTTTTTTATTGGTTTTCAACGTACTTAATGAATATATAGAAATAAGGATGTGTTGTATGATTGCCAATGAAACAACTATCCACCAGAATCAAAAGGACATGATGCAAGCAGCTAAATTAAAAGGTACGCATAACGTATAATCAGTTGTAAAAGTCCCCGACATGACAACTGTGAAACAATTTAAATAAAAGATTTAGGAAACAACAATAATCGAAAAACAATTAAATATGACATAAAATAACCAAGGACAATCAAAGTATTACAGGGACATGAATTAGGATAGACGATATATTTGGCATGTGAGCGCTAAACTCTCCCCTAACCTTGGACAGTGGTGTGACAAAACAACATAAGAATGAAATATAAACGTCATTTGAAAAGGGGTTGAATCATCAGATCAGTACGAAGTTAATAAAAACTAACAACCAACAAATAGACCAAAGACACAAACTGAAAGTACACTACCGATCAAAGGGTGTTCACAGGTACTGACGGTTATTCTTTATTTTCATTACAACAATCGGGTTGCTATTTCTACTTGTGGATTGTCAATCTCCTTTGGCATCAGTCTCTTAGATACATTGACGATTTAAAATAAATCTGATTTATATTTGTGTACTTGTATTTCATTGCCTTATTCTTATAATTTACTAGAGTATAAACATACCACAAGAAGAAATATCCTGTCTACTACAGATGATATGAATTCGAAAGATTCAACAATTGGAGGTAAATTATAAATCTGTAGTGTTTTAAAAAATCACAGCATCCTTTTGAAATATAATAAACCACCATTAAATAAGGTTTATAGTAAACCTTGATATAACCCCTTAAAAAGGTTACCTATCGTCCTGGGCATAGGTGAAAGATGTCTGTATCGATTAGTTTCCGACCATGTCTGATACATGTAGTTAACATCTGCATGTCTACTGTTCAAGACTTTATATTTTGATTTCTATATCTTTTGTGATTTTATTGTGTTTTTCGGTTGCTGTCTTATAAGCGTTTAGTCTACATCTTCATTTATCATAGCTTTCTGAGGGAACGTCGTTAATTTTGTTTCGTTTTAATAACATGAGCTACGATTATTACAGTTATTTATCAACGCCCATCTTTCCCCTCACTCTGCACCTTTAACCAGCTTTCTGTTATTTCTCATTGATTGATACTGTTTGAAGCTACATACTTTAATTTAAAACCAGGTTAAACATTGTTTAATCCATCCCGGGATATACAATGTACTTGTTCAATCTTTCAATCAATATCCAATTCATCTAGTTAAAGTAGTTAATGTACTTCTTACACGTATAGGGGCCTCGTTGGCCGAATGGTCTAAGTAATTACTACTTCAACACTGAGGTTGTGAGTTCGAACCCCGCTCGTGCGGGTGCACTCGACTCCAATCTTAATTGACTAGGATTGTCAGTTTTCCTATCGAAGGTCGATGGTTTTCTCCGGCTTCCTCCACCAATAAAAACTGGCCGCCACGAAATAGCCCAAAAGCGGTTCTTAAAAGTGGCGTTAAAACACAAAAAATCAAAAATCAAAATCTTACACGTATACTATACTTAAACCCTTTTTTCTTCACATCTCACTGATCTCTCAGACGTATATCTTCACATGTTCAAGCGTTAAGCCTTTGATAACGTATTGTTTACGTTGTAAAAGTTAAAAACAAATTATTTAGTCACACAATAAGTTGGTTATCATATATGAGACGGCAAGGCAACAAAAACAAGTTGTCAAAAATAAAGTCTGTCATATTAAACAAGTATTTATACTTAATGTGAAGTCATAAATTGTCCGTGTCTAGACATGAACTTTCAAAAAACAGCCAAAACCACCAAATAAAAAAATACGTAGGAGAATCGATAGCCACGAGGTTCAAAGTTATATGGTAAGTAACATTCTGAACTGGTTTCATTAGTATTTTATCATTACATTGTATGTTCTCGGTATGTGGAATAACAACGTACATAATTATGTAAATGGAAAAACTTATTGAGAGAGAGAGAGAGACAGAGATTTTATCGTAGATTTTACTGAAATCTTTGAGAGGTAAAGTCATTTTTAATGCATGCATGTTGATTTAAATGAAACTTTTAATGTTATTATATCTTCTTCTACTTGGGTTTTCTTGAATAGAGTAAGCTTTTGATATCTAATTTTGAAAGAGGATAGGCTAAAACAGTTAACATTCGTAATAGTTTGTACGGTTAAGTTTATCCATTTTCCAATGGTGCAAGACGACAACGCGATGCTCACATGCATATATTCTATCATTTCCCACTTTTTTAAATGAAAGCTATTTTGTTTCCTTTTCAGAAAACTCTATTATGACTTTTTTCTAGTCAAATTATTGAGTCTTGCTCCCCGAATAATCTTAACAGACGTAGTGAGTTCAAATTCAAATTTCCAAATGAAACTCGATGATATATACTTTGTAATACAATTTTGTTAATAGCATGATATAAACAATATTTTTGCAACCTGTCATTTTTTATACAAGTAGTCAAACAGCGCTGTACAGTAAAATCATAACCTTTATCAAAATGACTATAAAACCCAAGAACTATTGGTTTCTTTATATGATTTAAAAACACACATTATTGAATAATTTTTGTTTCCTTACTCTAATGCATTTTAGTAGAAATAATAATTAAAAGCTTATAACAATAATTTTTTTTTTTAGGAACCACATTCTTATATAAAGAAATTTTAATGATTACAATACCGTGTGTTGTAATAGCTTTAGTCATTGCTATTGTCACAAAACGTGCACATCATCACTGTAAAATATTTGAAGTGAGCAGCATAGCTGAAAACAGCCAAACTCTGCACGTTGAAGCCAATGAAACAGGAATTGATAATGACATTGAAGTATCTGAAAATATAACGGATTTTTCAGCAAAAGATTCTTGGTCTTCGTTTGACAGTATAATATCAGAATCTGACGGCTGTCTTCCCGTAGAAATCGGAGTAATTCAAACCTGTAATTACTCAATTGAGGACATTTATCAAAATTAAGTTTAAGACATTGAATCGATGATCTGAAGACTTTATTATGTGTAATCAGATTAAGAACTTAAATATAGGATTTTGAAATATATTCTATAGGATTTCTTGTTGATTAAAAAGGAATGTAGATTTGTAAAGAGAGGGGTAACAACTTATAATACACTGGAGTCAGTTGCCTGTCCCCTACCCTGATAATAACAAGCAAAAACAAAACCCCAAAGACTAACAAAAATACTGTTTTTTGTTTTTAAATAGCTTTAAACAAAAATTACAATTACAAAACATGTTATAACTTTTCAAGTATTACAAAAAGAGGGGCGAAAGATACTAAAGGGACATTCAACATCACAAGTCGAAAACAAACCGACAATGCCCTAGCAAAAACGAAAAACGACGAAAAGACAAACAACGGTACACAAAACACAGAAAGCTAATCCTGTTCCACATATGGCACCCGTCGTGTTGCTCATATAAGTCAATTGATTAAAAACTACGACCACAGTTACCTCAGTCTCATAAATTTACCTCTTCCTGTCTATCATGGAACTTTGATATTACTACTCCTTATAAAATCAAGGACATTAAAGAACAGTATGTGTCTAGGTAACCAAAGTAAAAGTCACGTTTCCAGTTAGCATATGTACCTTGTTGTTTCATATATCGAGATGCAATGCAGTAATAAAATATTCTTGCAGTTGTATTAATACATTTTTAATTAATGTTACTTATTCACCCACAAATGCTTTATTTTGTATTTACTACATATTTTTTTTTTTCGTTTCATGGAAGTGACAACAGACCATATCTTAGTATTTTTATAATAATGGTCGGTTAAGGAGTAAGCTTTATGAGAACTTTTCATTTTTATATAGCAACATTGCAGCAGAACATGCGTATGGACTGTATAAATTGCAGGTCTGGTGGCATAATGACGTCATAATCATTTTAAAATTGCCCTGAGTGCGGCAGTTCATGCGCTAGATCCTAAGCCGAGTTAAACCAAAGTTCATATTTATTCTTTATAAGTTGTTATTTTGTTTTCTTGTTTCAATTATTTTACATTTTTTATCTCGGGGCCTTTTATAGCTTGCTACACTGTCTGTGGTTTAGGTTTTGCTCATTGTTGAAGTTCGTGCGGTGTCCTACAATTGCTAGCTTCTACGTCATTTGTCTCTGGATTAGCAATCATACCATATCTTCTTATTTTCAAATACTGTTCAAAAAAAAGAAACGCATAGCTCGGATGAATTTTTCAAAATGCAAAATATATATTTTACAAGGTAAAATGAAACAGTCAATTGCATCTTCGAATTCTTACAGGTAGGTTTTAAACTTTAAATGCCCGTTCTTTGATTTGGCTCTCTGCCACATGAAATTTGCGACTCGCTAAAAGTGCATATGACCTTTTTCGCCGCGAAATTTTAATAAAGTTTTTTTTCACGAGAGTTTTGTGGTCAACTCAACTGTTACACTTTTGCGCATATAATGACCAAGTTTGAAGATTTAATTCATCACAACGTTAAAACGCTGCCATGCCAAGGTTGGACCCTGCTATTCGAAATATCGTTATCGGCCGTCTCCAGGCCGGGGGCAAAAGTGAAGTAGCCAGAACTAAAAATGTTAACCAGAGCACAATTTCGCAACTTTGGAACAGATACCAGCAGACTGGTTGTACTAAGGACCGCCCGAGAAGTGGACAACCTCGCCTAACGACTCCTGGACAAGATCGCTACATCCGGGTATTTCATCTACGAAATCTAACCGTTGCCGCAACAGCCACTGCAGTTTGGATACCAGGATTGAGAAGAATCAGCTCACAAACAGTCCGCAATTGACTGCGACAACACGGCATTAGACCCAGGAGGCCGTATTTTGGACCCGTTTTGAGGCCGTTACACAGACGGAATAGAGTCCGATGTTGCAACAGACTGAGGGCTGGACATTCCGCAACTGGCGCAGAACTGGTTTTGCTTCCTCGTGTGTCCAAGAATTGGACAGCTTCGGTGGAAGAAGTGTCATGATATGGGTGGCTATCTCTAATGACGTAAAACGGAATTGGTACATGTTCCGGGTAATTTAACGGCTCAAAAGTACAGAGACGAAATTCTCCAACCTCACCTTATGCATGTTATTGGCCGACAGAGGGAGTTATTCCAGCAGGACAATGCTAGGCCTCACGAAGCGCGTTTAACAATGGACTACCTTGAGCAGAATAACATCAATGTGCTACCTTGGCCTTCAAAATCACCGGACTTGAATCCTATTGAGCATCTATGGGACCAACTGGATAAACGTGTGCGCCAGCGTCAACCCCCGCCTCAGACCCTTGATCAGCTCCGACAAATGTTGCAACAGGAATGGCGAGCAATTCCACGCAACAACATTAGAACATAATTGATACCATCCATGCCGAGGAGATGCGTAGCAGTCTTAGCAGCGAGAGGTGGTCATACACGGTACAAACTTTAATGGCACCGGAAGTAACTCTAAGTGTGATAAATTGACCTTTATCAATCTCGAAGAAACCGACGGTCCTCTATTAAATCAAACACGTTTTGAGTGAATACCTTTATTAGTAATTGTAAAATTTTGATTCAAAATACATGTATTAAAATTCTTAAAAATCCATTATGCGTTTCTTTTTTGCAAAGTATGTTTGCTGCTTCTCTGCCAAGCATACAGAGTTTAGGAATCAGATCAAAATGAGTTTGGTGGAAGTCAGAATAATGTGTCCGGAAGGGTTGACAACTAACTACTCCTGCAGACTGTTCCCTTGTAAACGACAATGTAGCACCTTTAAAATAAAATTCGGCTCATCACGGGGCATCATCGTACGTTTTTAGTATAAGCATTATCAATAAAATTTATCTAATAAAAAAAGGACAAAATGACAATGGTCTCTTTTTTAAAACACATGATTTGAAGTCGAGTCAGGTGGATAAAAATTCAGTGGTCTTTACAAACTCCTACTCTAAAGATAATGTTTAGTCATGTGAACTTGTTAATCTTAATATAAACTCAACCAGGAAAGTTTTACTAGTTGTGAAAGGGGTCATTGACAATACTAAATGTGGAAATACTTTACTTTTATATGTTATTATCGAATTATATTTTTGTTATTCATCAGGAGATATAATTGCGACATTTCCGCCAATAGGAAGTATCTCGTGATTTCAAATGGTTTTTCTGTCGAGTGGTTTTCTAACAACTGTCAGGGCAAAGTTCAAGTATTTCCTGTATTTGTTTTAAAGTTATTTTAACACGTGTATTGTATGAAGGAATGTCAAATAATTATTTCCCTGTCCATTCAAATTACTTACTCCAAAGTTCAAATGTAAAATTATGTTTTTCCCACAATGTTGAGGAAAAAGTATTACAATGTATTTGGTAAAACCAACTCTTTTGTTAGATTCAATAACGAAAATTCAATTGGATGTTGAGTGCAAATCTTGATTGTTTCTGTTTAATTTATTCCCATGTTTTATATTAGGTAAATAAGAGCTTAACACATTATATCAACAGCTGTGTATTGTCGAAGCTTGTATAATGTTGTCTTTATGATATATTGTGATTATTTGTGTCGTTGGGCTTTTATTCAACAATTTTCTTTTACTTGTATTAATAATTATTTGAAAGTTTAGATAATCATTTTCAAACTAACAAGTCTGGTACATTGAAGTTTTACATTGTGAATATAGAGTGTTGTTACACCACTGTCCCATGTTAGGGGAGGTTTGGGCGCCCGCAAACATTTTGAATTGTTTTAGTTTGTTATCGAGTTGGGGCCTTCTGTACCTTGCTATGCGGTAAAGGTGTTGCTCTTTGTTGAAGGCCGTACGATGAGCGATAGTTGCAAATGTTTACGTCATTTAGTATCGGGTGGAACGTTGTCTCATTTGTAATAATACCACAGCTTGTTATAGAGAAAGAGAGTTTAGTACTTTTATTGCACAAAAAAAAGAGTAAAAATATTATCTTTATTAATCGATACTTTTGGAAACCTATTGTACGAATTTTCTGAAGAAAAAAAATCATAAAATCTATTTTGTTCCTAATAAAACTCTTATCCGAGTTTTATTGATACAAAATCTAGTAAGGGTTGATCATTTTCATGTTTACACTATAAATCTTTGAAGTGAGTATTCTGTATGTTAAATAAAAAAAAAATATATTTATCTTAAGGTTTCGCTGCATGAAGTCCTAACGTAGATTATGATTACTGTATTGAAAAATAAACTTTGATATTTTAATCTTGGATATATGATCGGCTTTGAACTGGCTTTCAGTGACTGCGACTACTGTCATGTCGGTACTTTTTGTCTTAAGCGTTTTCTGTTATTTGCTTTTTGTGTGCTTTGTGTCGATCAGATTAGGCAAGATTTTTTTGACAGATTTTTATAGTTTTTTTTTATGTTGTTCTGTTATACCAATGTCCCAGGTTAGCCCGTAACATTTTGAATGCGCCTGTCTCAAGTCAGAAGCCTGTAATTCAGTTGTTTTCGATTTAATTGTGTCTTATTTGTTATTCGTTTTCTTTTTTTTTTTTATAGTTTGCGAACTACTACGTCACTTGGACTCTAGTGGGAAGTTGTCTTCTTCTCAATTTTACTAATCTTCTTAAATTTATATTCAAATAACTTAAGACAAATGAATTCGCTGACCTCTAATTATCAAATTTTAGTCTTTAGTGAGGAAGTTTCATTGACAGTAATGATATATATTTTTAAAAGAATATTCCTATAAAGGTTTTTATAAAATGGTAATGTATAGTAAAAAAATTAACCTTTTTGAAATATTTACGTAAACTATATTCTATTATAAATTTACTTTGTGTATATTTACCATCTAAAATAAACTACAAAATACAAGACAGGTCGCTCGTCATTTTTTGTGTAAAAAGGAGGAACATGAGAGGAAGCATCTAATGAAATTAAGAATTTATAAAAAAAAATATATTTGAAAGAATAAAAGATTTTTGTGTATGTGATCAGCAATCAGATGGTATGGGTCCTACCAAAAATAGTATTTGTCTTTAAAGTCTCACATGAATTGAGCTGTTTGTGCATTTAGATGTGTGGCGGAAAATGTGAGAAT